GGGATAAAGTGGCAAGATGGGCGTCGCCACATCCCAATGGAGGTGATAAACAAGATAACAGCCATGGCCCCACCAACCTCTAAAAAGGAGACTCAGTCTTTCCTGGGCACTGTGGGGTTCTGGAGGATGTACATCCCGAACTACAGCCTGATTATGAGCCCTTTCTACCACGTAACCCATAAGAAGAACGATTTTGAATGGGGCCCTGAGCAACAACAACCCTTTGAACAGATTAAACGAGAGATTGCCCAAGCAGTAGCCCTCGGGCCAGTCCGAGAAGGGCAGGAGGTTAAGAACATGCTCTACACTGCAGCAGGGGAGAATGGCCCTACCTGGAGCCTCTGGCAGAGAGCACCTGGGGAGACCTGAGGCCAACCTCTGGGCTTTTGGAGCTGGGGATACAAAGGCTCTGAAGCTAATTACACACCAACTGAGAAGGAGATACTGGCAGAATACGAAGGAGTTCGGGCTGCCTCAGAAGTGGTCGGCACTGAAACACAGCTCCTCCTGGCATCCCGACTGCCGGTGCTGGGGTGGATGTTCAAAGGAAAAGCCTCCTCCACGCATCATGCAACCGATGCCACGTGGAGTAAATGGGTTGCACTGATAACACAACAGGCTCGAATAGGGAACCCCAGCTGCCCAGGGATATTAGAGGTGATCATGAACTGGCTGGAGAGCAAAGATTACGGGATGTCACCAGACCAGGAGGTGACATGTGCTAAGGAGGCCCCACCATATAACGAGCTGCCGGATGAGGAGAAGCGATATGCCCTGTTCACTGATGGGTCTTGTTTCATTGTGGGAAAACATCGACGGTGGAAGGCTGCTGTATGGAGTCCCACATGACGGGTCACTGAAGCTGCTGAGGGACAGGGTGAGTCGAGCCAATTTGCAGAGGTGAAAGCCATCCAGCTGGCTTTGGATATTGCTGAGCGGGAAAAGTGGCCGAGGCTCTACCTCTACACCGACTTGTGGGCAGTGGCGAATACCCTGTGGAAATGGCTACAGCAATGGAAGCAGAACAACTGGCAATGTAAGGGTAAAACTCTCTGGGCTGCTGAAGTATGGCAGGACACTGCAGCCCGTGTGGAGAACCTCATTGTGAAGGTGTGCCATGTGGATGCCCATGTACCCATGAGTCGGGCCACTGATGAACATCGATACAACCAGCAGGCAGACCAAGCTGCTAAGATTAGAGTGGCTCAGGTGGACTTGGACTGGCAGCGCAAAGTGAACTGTTCATAGCCCGGTGGGCCCATGAGACCTTGGGCCACCAAGGCAGAGATGCAACATACAGGTGGGCTCGAGATCGAGGGTTGGACCTCACCATTGACACCATTGCAGAGATCATCCATGGATGTGAGACGTCTGCTGCAATCGAACATGCCAAGCAGGTGAAGCCCCAGCGAAACGGAGAGCAATGGCTGAAATACAGATATGGAGAGGCCTGGCAGATCGACTACATCACACTGCCACAGACCCACCACAGGAAGCGCCACGTGCTCACAATGGTGGAAGTAACCACTGGGTGGCTGGAAGCTTACCCAGTGACCCACGCCACTGCCCGGAACACCATCCTGGGCCTTGAAACCCAAGTCCTGTGGCAACACGGCACCCCAGAGAGAATTGAGTCAGACAACGGGACCCACTTCCAAAACCTCATAAATGGCTGGGCAGAAGAACACGGCATCGAGTGGGTCTACCATATCCCCGACCACGCACCAGCCTCTGGGAAGATCGAGCGCTACAATGGACTGTTAAAAACCACATGGAAAGCACTGGGAGGTGGCATCTTCAAAGACTGGGACATGCATCTAGCAAAGGCCACCTGGCTCGTCAACACAAGAGGATCTGCCAGTCAAGCTGGCCCGGCTCAGTCAAAACCTCCATGTGCTGTAGATGGGGATAAAGTCCCTGTGTTGTGCATGAGGAATATATTGGGAAAAATGGTCTGGTTTAGCCCTGTGCCAGGCAAAAGCAAAGGCAAACCCAAAGGCAAACCCGTTCACGGGATTGCTTTTGCCCAAGGACCTGGGTGTACCTGGTGGGTGATGCAGGACGATGGAGAGGTCCGATGTGTACCACAGGGGGACTTGATTCTGGGGGAGAACATGCCGTGAATTATGCTGTGCATTTGTAAATTGTTATTTTGTTATTGTTAACTGCTAAATGGCAGCTGGACATGAAGGGGTGGATTATGTCCTGGTTCAGCTAGGATAGGGTTAAGTTTCCCCAGCAGAGAGGGGGAAGGGATCTCCAGCCGGGTTATTCATACCATGCTGATGTCAGCGCGGGAAGTTTTCCTTTGTGGCTTTGGTCACGGGGACCACACAGGCGAGCTGTCTGTAACCATTGCGGTATTTCTCTGTATATCTTTTGCCTTGTTTACTGTTACTACTGTTTACTGTTGTTATCATTGCCACTGTTGTTGTTCAGATTACTTATTACACTGTTGTATTAAATTTCTTCTTATTTTAACCTGGGGTTTGTGCCCTATTTGTGTCAGAGGTTGGGGGCGGGACCATAGCAATGTGCTCTCCGGTCCCAGCAGGGCTTAAAACAACACAAACACCCACATCAGGGAACAAAAGAAGGAGATCTGAATAAAGCGCCTAAGTTTGCTCTAACTTGCTCTTTGGGTCTACAGTCTGGGAATCAAATTTTTGGATTTTTTTGTTGGGGGGAAGGTGGGAGTGTAAATTTTGCTTCCAGACAAAAGAATGCAGAGGAAAACCAACAAGGTGATTTTAGATATTGGCACTGGAGCTTTGTAGAACTTCTCTTCTGCTTCAGTGCCACACCACATTTTCTCAATTCTGTCCTTAGTATTTTTAAATTATTTTAATGCAATTTCTTATAGGTCTAAAGCTCTTAAATTTTGTGGATCAGTATTTGCTTACAGGTTTTCTGGTTTAGGATTACCAGTTCTGCAGGGGATTCTAGTGAAACCAGAATATTATTCACCTTGCTCTCTTCTCAGAACTGTTATCATATTCTCTTTCTTACTGTTAGGACCATAAGGTTATCAAGCAACAGACTCAGTTTATGACGAAAACTGAAAATTAATTTGTCGGAAACAAGAATAGTTTAAAAGATCACTGGCCTTTTGTATTGTCTTGTAGCATTACTAGGTTCTTTCTTCAAAGAAAGCCCACATATCTTTGGACTTAAGTTACAGTGGTAAGTTAACACCAATATTCAATAGGAATTTTCCTAAAATAACCATGTTAATATAAAGTAATGATTCAGTAAGTGGGGAAAAAAGACGGATGACAAGTGATTTACCTGAAATCTTACACACAAAATGACAGAAGAGGAGAAGATGATTGAAGATGACTAGAAATGGACCATTAGGTATCAGCACCCAGAGCCTAAGTACTCTGTGCAAACTTCTGAACCCTACCAGGGAAGTATTAACTGAATTTGACTTCCTAACATTTCTAAAATAATAATGAAAACCAAAGAAAACTTGGAGCCAGGACCTCGAGGGAGGAATATTCACTGCATCTGTGAATGAAACACAACAGGCATGGGACCACTTGGCTATCTGAATTTAAATGCCTGAATTAGAACTAAACACAGGATATTAATGGTGGGGAAGTGCCAGAGAAATTAAAAGCATATAAGGTATTATGCAACAGTGAGTCTCCAGGTCTGACTATATCTTCAGCTACTTTGGAAATTCTTTTAGCTGGTAAAGAAGACCTGGAAGGAACAATGCTGTACCATTTTCTTGTTCTGCATAAGTTTCTAGAGAATAAGAAACCAAAATCACATCCTTTAATTGAAAACAAAGTACTAAAACCAAGAAACAGATTCCAATTCATGAAAAAAGCATTAGAAGCAATTAAGAACATTCATAGAATCGTTACACTGAGTTCTACTTCTCATCGCTCAGAATGAAAATGTTTTCAAGATAGTTAAATAACCAGTAACCTTTTTTTTTTTTTTCTCAGCTATGCCACTATCAGTAAGCAGTAGTCACGCATGTATTACAATGTTTCCTTTGAGAATATTTAGGATAAAGATTACTCTCACTGAAATTCACTAAAGAAATAGTGCGCTGTCAAAGCAGAAAGATGAAGAGAGCTGAAGAACTAAAGCAGTAAGGAACTATGCTTTCATAATAAATACTCCTTATCTTTCCAGGTTATCAGTCTGCTCTGACTCTAAGGAAATTTTATTTCACAGTTCCTCCTAGCCCTCATTCTATCAACACATAGTTCATGCTCTTTATACATTTGTAATATCAACTACTCATTTTGTCTTGGTTACCTTCTCACGGGCATCCAACAGGTTTAGTACCTGTCCTGTTGACATTAAAGAAGGATCATTATTCTCTGTTAAAACCATTCTTAAAATGCTTCTTCAATCAGATGTCTGCTAGTATTAGGCCATAAAATTATGAGGAACTCTTCAATTTTGTTAATCTGTTTTTTCAAGGTTAATATATAGTGACACTGTTCCATGCAATGGCATGTAACTCCTATTGCCATGTCACTGCACAGCTCTGCCTGAGCTCACAAGGGACTGCTAGGAGGCAGGATATATTCAGCAGTAGAGGGAGCCTAGCTAACACCACTGTTCTCCCTTGGAGCATGCATAGGCACAGCATACTCTACTGAAGGTCAGATATGGAGGTTCAATAGTCAAAACATAATCAAACAGAACCTACACACAAAATCTGGTCTCAGTGGAATAAATTGCAAACATTCCATTTGCTGCAGTGAGGTAACTTCAAACTACAACATTTTCTATTTTTAATGTACAAGTTACATATCAGTGGTATGGTACACTGCAACATGATTCAGGATGTTTGGAGATCGAAAGCCAGCCTTACAAGATAAACAAATGAAAATTTTCATATTAACTTCAAAGTGAAGTGTAAATGTTTCAAGGGTACTATGTCCTCTTCCTCTTGAGCACATGCACAAAAATATCTCTCACAGAAAAATGACTTGATAGGTATATTTTCTGAAGTATACAGCCATCCTTACCTGCATTTCTTGGCAAAAGGAAGCAGTTGGTCCAAAAAGAATCTGACACTGTTCATCTGCAGTGTACGTCATTCCTGGGAGTTTGGAGGGAATTATCACAGAATTGAGGCTCTGAGGATTCGTCTGCAGCAGACAGTTACTGGCCTTTGACCTGGCAATATACAGAGATTCATATGCTGAACAATCCTAAGCAGTGTGATTGTCATACTGACTTATACATTCATTTGACATTAAAAAAATGTGGGCTCTTCCAATTTTTTTATTTGTCACCATTGGGCTGTCATCCAGGGAAATGACTTTGTGTAAATTAATATGACTTACTTGAGATAAGTTAATGGTGTGTTCTGATGTTATGGATTTGCAGAAAGAAATTATAATTTATCAGCTATAATAAGAATTTCAGAGAAGCACTGGACAACATTTTACTGTAAAATTTACTTAATTGATTGAAGTTTGGATAGAGAGGCAAACAATTATAAAAAAGTAGACGATAACACATAGGCAGTTGTGTATCTTAGTTTTCACATCTAGCAGGACCTCAAATTAATCACTTCAGATTTTTTATATATCTTTTATATATGTATATATAAACACATATTTAAAAATACATAAATTTCTGAGCTGGTAGCCAAAAAAAACCCCTTTTCTATAAAAATGAAGAAAAAATATTTGAAAATACTTAGACCTGTTAAAGCATCAGCTAATGATTTTGATTTGTGTCTAGGTTCAGTACAAATGTGTCAGACTGTTACACCTGACTTACACTAGGTATTCCAGTGTCATAAAACAGACCTTCTGAGGTATGTTTAACTGCTGCAAGTAAATTCTCAACAGATATATTTATGAACTTCATAAAGGAACAGAGCTTTAGGGAACATATCCTATTTAAGAGATATAAAGAGAAACTAAGTGTTTTATTTGGTTTCTAAGTATACTATTCTCTATTAAACATCTCATAGTCACTTTCTGTTTTAAAAATTAACATAATGTAATTATACTGCATGGTTTGATACTGAATGGCAGAACATAGATTAGAGAATGTACATAATGTTCATAGGTCATGCACGTCCAACATTCTTCAAAACATAGCATATTAATATTTTTAAACATTTACATATATATATAATGTATATATAAATATATATAAGTATAACCATATTCATTAACACATGAAAAGATAAAAATACAAATAAATGCTGCAAACAGATTTTAGTCAATCTGTCACATATTATGCAGTTCATAATGATTTATATTATTTTGATGGACTATGCAAACACAAATCTCCCCCAGGAAGTAAAAAATATTGAGAACTTGATATTTCAGGATATTTATTGCAACTATTTGTAAATGACACACAGCAAGATTTTTTTTTCTTAAATGATGTACCTGAGAAATCTTTCCAGATCTTCCCTGCTACACCGAGACCATGAAACATCCCCAAGATTCTGTCCTTTAATCCACTCCCCAGACATGATATGGAGACCATCTGCACAGGATGGGTGGTCATTGTCGTGGCTTATCCCCATGCTGAATTATGAAGTTATTAAAAATAAACCAAAGCACAAAAAATAAGAAGTTGCTTTCAAAATGTTTTTAAGTTAAAGCTCTTGCAACAAGCTATGAATAACTCATTTATGTTACATGTAGGAAATATCTTCTGATTTTTTTTTCCACGGTAACTTTCACAGAAGTACATGAAACAGTGTGTAGAGGACAATTCTAGAGTGAAAGGTAAAAGTAAAGCCTCATTCGATGAGCAGTATTACATTTTAATCAGCCATTCAATATACACTTTGGACAACGTTTTGAATATTTAGAACTGCAAAACTACTGCAGGTTTAATGAACTGTACTTGTCTCACTAATGGGCAACAAAAATGCTGGAGATTTACTTTTTGAGATCCATGAATTGTTCGATATTTTGGCAGGGATTCTATCGTAATTCCATATGGAACTGGTTTGTTGAAATTTTATTGGACAGTAAAATGCTTACTAGTTTAATGCATAATTGGATCTAAAGAAAAATCACCTAAATGTGTTTTCAATGTCTACTGTTAGAAATAACATTGACGAAGCAATTCAATGGATTTTGATTTTAAAGACTCAGCATCCATATGCATCCCAGTGAGTTGTCACATAGGATACTGCAATGAAAATTCAACTAAAAATCTGCTTGAACCTGCTATGTTAACTGAAGACTCTCTGTCACTCTCATTCACAACCAGTAAACAGAGAGGAAGAAGATAGACTTACATAAAGTTCTGAAAATCAGCTAAGTGGATACATGTTTGACTGGCATTAAGAGAAATAAATTAAATACTCTCAACTGTTTTTGAAGATTCATAAATGAGTACAGGACTACTCTCCAGAGCACTGGATTCAAAGTGGTGCTGGAATTTTGCAGCCCTAATCTGCCTTGCATAAAAGCAAAACTTTAGAGTGAATAAAGCTTTATACCTTGTATTGATTTCTTCAGCCAAAGAGCAGTTAAATCACTTAGAGACTGCAAAGACGGGAGAAGTTTGCCGCTTCTGTAGAAAAACTAGAGTACATCATGGTTCTCCATATTTTACCACACTGCAGTGCCAAAGGGCAAAAAAGGCCTTGCCACCCATCACTGGAAACATCAGCTCAGCTTTCTTCTGCAGTTTATCCCAAACCACCTCATGACTAGATGAAATTTTATATCGTTTTGCAAGCTGCATTACCTTGTGTTTAACAATGAAATGAATTTAAAAGCCGTGTAGGGCTTTATCTTGCCTATAAGAGTGCTCAGTTTTTCATAGTGATGTGCACACCCCACAATCTGAAGCATTGGAACAGCTGTCCCTGCATGAATTGGATAATTTTGTTAGTTGTAAACAGTGTAACTGAGGTAAACAAATCTGACTCTCATCCTAGCTTCTGTCTTTTCCAGAACTGCCTGAATGGGACAAAACAAGCACATGAAAGTGCCTTTGCACTTCCCTTACATTCTTATACGCTTCACATGTAGAATCTGAGACATCCTTATCTCCAGAGTTATATCCGTAAGAACTATGGGAGAAGACACAGAAAATCTAATGACACTTTACTTTGTTGACTGCACAAGAAATAGATTTTACTTACAGCTTTTCAATTTATAGACTTTCTTACTGCAAGAATACTCATTTATCAGTATCATATATATATTAAGTTTTGAAATAAAGCATCTACAACATACAAGCATCTACAACATACAAGCACACAAAATCTTGATACAATTTATTAAAGAATTGATGGCTCCCATTTATGCAGAATGGGAATTTATGTTGTTTTGTTTGGTTTTTTTTAATTAAAAATATTTTCTGATTACTAGTATTTTCCATTCACTCTGAAGAGCAATTCTTGAAATCAGACTTTGTCACAAACTAGTCTGTAAAATCACCCAGAAAAATGCGTGCTGAGCTAAACCAAGATCTTCGCTATTTCACAAAACAATTCCACAAGCCACCATCACATACAAACAGCAGTGTAACCTTTTCTTTTCAGTCTACTACCACAGAAACATTCTGTATAGTCTATCATTACATAAATTCTGAGAACAACATTGTCTTTAAAGGTAAGAAGTAGTAAAAAACGGTGTACTCATAACAACTATGTATATCAGCAACATTAGGCACTAATAAAAAATCTAATTCCAACTGTCTTTCAATACTTCAGCTGCTATACTTTTGCTACACTTCTGCTTTGACACTCAAATGTAGTTCAGAGTATCTGCACTAACACAATAGGATTCTTTCTTTAATACACTCCCACCTCCTATTGGAGTCTTTGACTATCAGAATGACTAGCTATTTCAAAAGGGAAGTACAGGTCATTATGTTAACATCAAGTAATTAAATCTCAAGACAATATGTGAGCATTACGTTAAAGTAGCAACAGAACCTGCCCTTACACATTCTTAGAAATCTTTTCCTTAATACATACTGTTGGTGTCTTCTATATCATGGATAATTTTTCAGACTGCATAATTTACCTGATCTAGTATCAGTTACAAGACCACATAAAAGTAGATGTGCAGTAGTATCGACTTCTGATTTCTTTCACCATATTACATTACGTGTGTGGTGAAAGAAAGAAGCTGAACAGTCACTGCTACCTTCCTATCCAACAAGAGAGTAAGTAATGCAAGCATGTATATCTACTTCACTAACAATCAAGGATATAATAATATTCCATGCTCCCACTAGTGGTCATGGTATTTTCTAGTATTTTTTGTTGTACTGTCTACATGGAAGAGACAACTACATCCTTTCACTAAAAGAAAGGCACCGCCGAAACTGTCTGTGTAAGGTGCTGTTCTGTACTCTTCCTGTAGAATTTATTATGCTAGCATTGAGCACGTTGGGAACATCTCTGTCCATAAGCTCTTCTCTCCCACAGCTGTGGTCATTCATGCAGGAGTAAAGCAACACCATGTGCATGTGGGAGGAAGACAAGGGAGTCCGAGGTACGAGGATAACTTTACAAGAGTCTAAAAAAGCACAATTAACAAAGAAGACAGTGCTGTACTTTAACAAGTAGTAGATCATATCTACATGGAAATAAATCAAATTCTGTTTTAAGAACAGAAGCATTATTCTCCGCTAATATATAAAAATGTTCCACCCATTCTGGTTAAAGACTGTATACAACAGATATAATATGAAAGTAGGAAGTATCCTATGAAATGCATTCCCTAACTAAAACATAAGCAATATTTCAACTCACACTATGCAACTAAACTACATTTTAATAATCTCAGTTTAAAAGTATTTTGACAAAGAGCCTTGGTCAAATAAACTCCACTACCATTATACATGGTTGTCAAGTCAACTGAAAAAATATTTTTATCTAATAAAACCTCTAGAACTTGTTTAAAAAACATTGCCAGATTTTTTTTTTTAATTTTTTTTTTGTGTGTGTGTGTGATATCATGCAGAAAGTTGGAAGAATCTCTGCTAAATTTTGAAGATTTTCTCTGCTGATGTTTAATGAGCAGTAGGAATAGTACAAAGAAAAATCCTTCATTTCTGTAGAAATCAGAATTAACAACTCAAGCCACAGAAAGTAGGAAACAAATATTAGTTCAATTTTTCAGTTTAAAAGTGATTCTTTTACAATTCACTACTGCTGCAATTATATGAGTACAGCTGGATTCAAGATAGACAACAGATTTTCTCCTGCCATCAAGGGAATAGTTCATATTCTTGCAGGCACAAAATGCATTCTAGTGTCAACCCACATACTGAAAATGTACAAAATACCACACTTTCATTTGATTTGATTATAGGCAAGTACTAAGAAATAAAAGCCCCTTTAACTCACAACAAATGGTCCTCAGTCATTATGCTATATTTAAATAAGTTAAATAAAGCTATGCACACACCTTCTGGAAATAATTAAGTCTGCATTGTAAAGTGCTATTTTATATTTCTTACTATAGGGCTACAGAATTCTCCTATATGTGCTACGTTCATTGCATCATGAATTTGCTCAGTGACCCCACATTCTTCCAGGTGGAAAGCTTTTTATTATTTATTCATTATTTTCATTGTGCTTTGCAAATGGCAGTTGACAACCTGGTTATCATCATCACATTCCACTTAAATGCATGGTAGTGCAGCTGAACAAGAATGATACAATTAAGGGAGAAACAGGTAATGCAGGCACAAAGACTAGTATAAAAAACTTAATAGAGGAGCAATTAAATGGGTGAGTTCAGCTAGATGTGGTAAACTAGGTGTATCTGTAAATTTTTAAAAATTTAGAATTAAAGAGATTAAAGAGGACTACTACTGTTCAGAGTTTTACAGTCACTAACAGTGAGACAGGTTAGGAAATGAGATGAATTAGAAAATCCACAAGAGCAAGTACCCAAGGAACTGGGGGTAGGTTTGTTGAATGTTCTGTATAATAAATAGATTCCCAAAGCCTAAAAGACAACAGTTCAGACCAAGAGATATAAGCAGCAGAGGAATGATGAGTGTAAACTGCAGATCCAGGATAACAATACTACTTCAAGTTCATGACAGAATGAAAATTATTGAAAAAATTTTCCCTTTGTGAAGGAGATAGTAAACCTCTGAATGCTGCTGCCAGTTTATACTGGTGATTGTGTGATGGGATCAGGGTGTCATCTGATTTGTTTAAAAATTCCTATTTTTGTAGATATAATTTGTCAATTTACTATAATTATTATCCTGAAGATCTTTTCCCATGCTAGTAAACAAATCACAAACACCTTATGGATCATATTACTTTAAAAAGAAAAAATAAGAATTAATTAAAAATCATTATTAATTACAAAGTGTTATCCTCCCTATTAGTTCCACTGTTTCTTGTCGTCATTACATACAATATTATGTTAGAATTATCAAAGCTTCTTAAACTATGGACTTAGAAAGGACAAGGTTTAAAAGCCTATATGACATTTAATAGTACATTGATTGTCCCAATAACTTCTCTAATCTGAAATTTTGCATATCACAGTATCACAAGGATGTATTTGACAAGTGAAGATAGCAT